ACAAGGTTGATTTTCTCGCGGTTGAATTATACAGAGGTTGTTCTGTTGTTTAATAAAAATGATTAAACCAAAGTTTATAGTCCGCGTACTAAGTGTTTTGAGTTCACTTCCTCAGCACGAACTAACCTTTGTTCTCAAAACTGAAAGCAAGAAAATGTCAGTGCATTTAAATCTATTATTTGCATGCATTTTAGTTCCCAGAGACAGTTACTAAAATGGATGGAGGATCAGGCTGTACTGGATTCCCATTCTGAAGTTCCCCTCAAGCTCTGCAGACAGTGCTGTAGTGGTCTTGGCTCTGGAAAAGCCTCTTGCTGTTATCCCAGGAACGAGCGTTTTCAGGCTTCAGGCAAGCCAATGTGAGAAACAGCTCTTCGAACCCATGAGATGAGAAACTGCAACGGGCAACTCATCTCCACTCCTTCCAGACCAGTGAGATTTGGTGGTGGTACTGTGAATAGCAAAGGGCAGAGGAAGGCTGGAAGAAAAGCTCTTTTCCACCACCCCACAAAAGGTAAGACACATGGTATTCTCAAGTAAATTTTGCATGATCATCATCCCTTCATCTATAGCTTTGTTCTTTGTGTGCACACCATAGTACAGCATGGAATGTGCAGCTCAGCTGCAGAGGCAAAAGACATAAAAGCTGCATTGCTACAGCAGACACCCAAGGAGCATCTCCAGGCTCCCTGGGCTAAGTGTATTATCCATCCTGATTCCTACCAAGGCCAAACCTGGGTTAGCGAACTTGGGGCAATACATTTGCTTACCTGGAAAAAAAACCCAAACCATGCCTGTGCAACCTCCCCAAAAAAAAAGTATTTGGTTGCCCCAAATCTCATTGATTTATCCAGCTGCATTAGCTGGTCAGATGAAGGGTATTACTAGTCCCTCCAGATTTGCCACAGTTAGATTTCCAGGACCACATAAAAAAACATTGTGTGCTTCATGTTTTGCCACATCAAGGCAATCGTTCGAACCAGCAAACCTCCCTCTAAAGGGTCAGTTCCTCTGAAGCTGAAATACCCCTACTTCTCGTTACTATCTACAAACAGTGATAATTGCGGGGCTAACGCCTTGCAGAGTTTGGACTGCACTATCACAGAGCATTTACTGCTGATT